GACGTAAGCATCATGAACCTATTTTGTGCTGCATAGCGTAGATATGAAAACCATTTCTGTATCAGATACAAAGAGAAAATGACAGGAACATGAGAGTAGTGGGACATTTTAACATGCCTCCTTAACTCTGACAGATTAAGTAGGCAAAGAATGAATTAGAGTATAGAGGAACTGAATAATGTATTTCATGTGTCTGATTTAATAGATAGATGTCAATTTTGTACCCTATAAAGCAAAAATATATCTGTTCTCTAAGCACTCATAAAACATTTATTAAAATTGATCTTCTATTGTCCTACAAAGGAACTCTGTGTAAGTTCAAAAAAAGCAAAATTTGGACAGGCTTGTTCTCTGACCACTGTGCAAAAAAGCTGAAAAGTCAGGGCAAAAGTTCAAACCACCAAGCCCACACGCTTGAAGTTTAATGACACTGCTATATAACTCTTGGGTAAAAGAAGAAGTCAATCAGGCTGCAATTAGTGATCGTTTAAGACAGCAAAAATCAAAATACTGGGTACTGATGCTCATAGGAGAGCGCCAGAGACAAATTCACTGCTGAAGACTTTGATTTTTTTCTTCACAGAAAAAAGGCAAAAATTAATGGACTAAAGATTCAAGCCAAGAAATTACAAAACAATAATAAATGAACCAGAAATTGAAGAGGTAGGAGTTAACAAACCCAAAAGCATAAACCAATTATTTGAAGATAAAACTACAGAATCAGTATGTATGAGGTAGTTGTTTAGAAAAGACTATTAATGTGAATAGTTAATCCAGAAAATATCAATACAAAGCGAAGAAGAAAAGGGATATGCCTTCACAGGGAGAGAGCTTTGTTTTAAGTTGTGAAGTTGTAAATGTCAGGTAGATATTTTCCCGCAAAATGAAGTCACAATTAGAAAGCTTGCATAAATCCAGATCAAGAATCTCATTACTGAGTATGAGAAAGTTATTAACACATAATGGTGAAGAATTTGGGCTCTCGCACCAGCCTGCCAGAGTTTGCATCTTTCCCTCTAACTGTGTAACATTGGGCAAAATATTCAACCTCACCAAACATCAGTTTCCTTATCTCCAGATTGGTGATGATAACATCTACTTCCCAAAGTTGTGGGACAGTGAGTTAAAGAGCACAAGCCAAGTATCCAGCAGTGAGATTACAGCACAACTCCCCCAAACTCACTAGGCATTTTCTATTGCTGCTTCCTTTATTGATAGTTCCAAAGCCTAGAAAATGCTGCAGTGTTACTCACTTGGTTTTACAAAATCAGGATCTTAATATAAAAACTTGACAGGTTTAATAATAAAAATACAAATTTTCCTTATGAGTATATATGAATATAAATTAAATGTGAACAAATGCAATCCAGAATTGTAATTAAATAATAAGACACCAGAAACAATTAGGGTATGCCACAGGAATAGATGAATGTTTTACTATGAGAAAATATATCACGTACTTTGTCATATTACTAGACAACTGAGGATGTGTTGACCTAGAAATGTTTTTAGTTATGACCCTAAGGAAATGAGACACAGTCAGAGCTTTATGTTCAAGGGTGTTTGGTGTAATATTATTAAACCTTTAATTAATCTAAATAACAATAGGAAATGCTTAAATATTTTGAAATGGGAAAATATATTCAAGAGATGTTGTTCATTAAGTATAAAAAAGGTTAATGTAATATATATGCTGTGCTTGCAATGGGAAAATGATATATTTTAATTTCTGTTTGTATAGGTAAGTATGTGAATGAGCATTTGGGTTGTTTCCTTGCCTTTGCTAGTGTAAACATGTTGCAATGAACAGCCTCATGCATTGGTCATTTTGCAGAAGTATGAGGATCAAATAATTACCATGGTGTGCTCCATTTTAAGTACTATAATCAATTTAAAAAATGATACATACACAAAATTATTTATTGCAATATTTTTAAAGTGTGTGTGTCTGTGTGTGTGTGTGTGTGCACGTGCACGCATGTGTTTCTGGAAGCACACACAGTCGTTTATGGAGAAAAGGGAATAAAAGAAAATGGAACAAAATGTCATATTATTTTAGGGCAGTTTTTTCATCTTTACATTCAATTAAAAATATTTCTTATGTGAAATAGGAAGAAAAGGGCTAAAGGTGTAGGGGACATGGAAAGGGCAGGGGAAAGGAAATAAGGGAAAAGAAAAAATATGAGAAAAGGAAAAAATTGAAACAAAGTCTTTGTAAATAGGGGAGGAGGGGTGAAGGGAAGGCAGGGACAAGGGGAAAAATGGGAACCAAGACCTGTCATGTAAAGGTACAAGATTCCAATGATAAATGCAACTGCACTTTATACTTAAAAAGTACCGAAAAACTCAATGGGAAAAAAAAATCTTAATGCCAATGTAGGAAAAAAAAATCAAATGCTAGGAAAAAAATGTCAATGAGTTTCAAACAAAAGGAAAGCCTTGCACTCATATGAAAAATATCTAAATTTAAGACATTTATCTGGTTTGTGACCTCATGTGTTAAAAAAAAGAAGAGTGCAACTAGGGTAAATAGTGTTTTATACAGTGTCCGACAAGTGATAGGCCTAATATATATTCTTTTCACTCCACTCACTATTCATGTGGAGATTGTTGTCAAGATTAGTTTACAAAATGCATGTGAAAATGGATAGAACTGGAGGACATTATGATGAGTGACATACACCAGACACAAAAGACAAATTCTGCATGTTTGCTCCATATGTAGAAGCTAAACACATTGATCCAGGCACGTGTACTAGAGTCAGGGAAGGTTTGGAGCCAGTTAGGGTTGAGGAAGGTTGACAATGAGTACCAAAATGGTGAGATACAAGGAATAAGTTAGGCTGCCTTATAGCACAGTGGGGGACTATGGTTCACAATAAACTATTATGTATTTTATGAATAATCGGAAGAAAGAAACTCAAAGTCTTCAAACAGAGTAATGATGAGGAGATAGAAATGTTGATTACCTAATTTGGTCAGTATACATCATATACACATACTGAAATGTCACATTATACTCCAAAATATGTACAATTGAAATCATAAAAATAAGTTGAAGATAAAATGTGCATGAAAGAGTTTAGCATATGGCATGTACCATAATTGGCTGTCAGAAATTATCATCTGAATCTCAATTATCCATAACCCTTCCAGAGCATTGCCTAGACTCTAAAATGGAAGAGCAGAAGTATTTGTCACTAACTGTCACTCTTCACCATTCAACATGGACTCTCTCATTTTTTGATGCTGTCATATTGCTTAAAAACCTACCAACAAAGCAAATAAACACATAAAGAAAAGAATAAATCTGGTTTTCTACTGGCCTCTGGATAACGAGCAATAAAAGAAAAAACTTACCTTCCTCCTGAATTTTCTTTTCTTGTTTAAATCCATGTCCAGTATAGATTTGATTCAACATTTGCCAAATAGTTTCTTTCCTGGCTATAACTTTATCCGTCTCTGGGAGCATCAGTATTTTCATGTGAAAAATTCTGGCCTAATCCCTAAACTCACACACCCATTGCATAAGATGATTAACTATTTAAAGAATGCAGTCTTAGTAAAGAAATAACAGTGATTCTACTGATTTGGCAAATGTTATCGGGTAGGAGGACACAAATGATTTGTCTTAGAAATGCCGAGTCTAGAGCTAAGAGAAAGCTTGACTTTAGACAAAATATATATTGTGGACTTGGATATGGGAAGTGACTATAGGAAGAAGATTTGAGGGTTCACTGGATAGGCAGAATGAAAAGAGAGAAGTGGTCAAGAAGACTGATGTTCAACATTCCAAGCCAAAGGAACATTAGTGCGGTGGACAGGCATGTAAACACTGGAGAATAACACGAAAAACTCACTTTGGGACTTAATGGTTTGGGGTAGGGCAGAAATTTCAAAGGTGTGTCCATATAAAACCTAACCCTACACATCAGATTGACCTCAGGCTAGAGGTATAGATCTAAGAATTACCAGTGTGGGTAAGCAGGCAGAAGCTATGGAATATACCTGAAATCATACAAAGACTCCAGAGCCTAATGGAGCCCTTATACTTGGAAGGAACGGGATTTAATAAAAGAGACAGATGCTGAGTATTTGGACAGTAGAATACTATGAGTAGGAAGGATGGTGGACATATATATAAATGGGGATAGAATGCCTAGACCTGAAAAGATAACAGAGCTAAATCCATCATTGAGTAAATTAAAGCAAAGACCTTCTCCTTCCCTTTACTTTCGTTGAAATTTGATACGTAAACCACGAAGAACAAGAAAATAGTGTTGAGCTGCAACAATAATACAGTATTAGAATGTACTTTAATAGCAGGTCAAATCTTTACTAGAATCTTTTAGACACCCTTGAGATATTCTGAACTCTACCCTTTGGAAACTAGGGGTATTAATTTTGCGGATCATTCAGTCTAAGTGGGCTTTTGCATTATTAATAAAGGAAATGATTTTGAACTATTGGGCTATATCGCATTGTCTAGAATCCAGGATTGCTTATCTTGGGCAGTGGGTGGTTCACAGGCCTGCTTGCCATGTCTCAGGGTGCACCAATACCTTAAGACAGGGTGTACTCTTTCTGGTATCCTAATACTTTCCCTTCTGCTGAAATAGAATCTAGTATTTCCCCTTCCATTACCTCTACCCTATGCAAGTGTGCTTATTGAGTGTTTCCTAGTCTCCACCCTTCTCCTCCTCAGCCCATCCTCACCCTAACAAAGCTGGTTAGCCAGGCCCAGAGACGTGTGTGTGTGTGTGTGTGTGTGTGTGTGTGTGTGTGTGTGTGTTACCATGGTGACCAAGGAAACCCAGCTTCAAGAGAGAGACAGAAATAGCAGAGGAAGTTTCTTTGAGCTTAATACACTGTCTCCTGCCTTTCTTAGAAGGACTTCCTTGAGTCGGAGAAACATAGAAGAGGTAAAAATAGATGCTGTTATGTTAAGACAGTGGGGTGCCTGAACTCTTCTTTAAAAATTTCTTTTCTATGACTTTCAGGTGATCGTCAGTATAATCATCCGATTTTGAGCAGTGCTACCCAGACCCCTACACATGGTGAGAGACGATTCAGAGCTCTCTGCATTCCATCCTCATTCAACGTTGCTCCATTCTAAGTGCAGATGCTCACCAGAGCACCAGACACATGGTCACCGACTCGCTGAAACCAAGGAGGCAGAAGAGCTGTGTGCTTGCCCTTCTCCGGGGCCACAAGTCTTCACCCTTCCTTTTAGACCATTGTTCCCTTGGTGTTTCTGTCCCTGGATAGCAGAGTGATTTTTGCCACAAAGAGGAAGAAGCTCAACTGTTTCTTAACCCATTAATGCTTGCAATGTATATCATTCCCTGTGGGCATAAATTCTATATGTCTAGAGCAAGGAAACTAAAAAGCTTCCTATGGTATCATTTACAAATGACGTGAGACTTGGTTAAACTACTTTAATACGACACAGACTGATTACAATCTGATGAAACTCAAAACTCATTTGGGCTTTCACTTCTTGGCAGGACAAAGGGTGAAAGTTGTGGAGCAATGTGAACATAGCGCCAAAGGGTTGCAAAACCGCATTTCCCTCTTAGACTTTCACGTGCTCCCAACAGATCAAAACTTAACATGTGGAACCACCAAAGAAAACTATTTTGGGTGTCTTTCCCAAACGGTAAACTGTAAGACAGCCATGTAAATTGTGAACTCTGAGCCACTCTTGCCTCTTTTCTGTGAAGGAGTAAAAGCATCCTTGAAGTTTTCCTGGGAGAGCAACTTAAAAAACAACCCACCTGGTAGAGAGAGCTACCACTCATAAGGCAGATTACGCTGTACTTCAGCGCTGCAGTTCAGGGACGTTTTAATTAGGACAAGAGGAGAGGTACGTTTTAATGTGCTCCTCCAGAGCTGTGTTCCTAGTGGCAAGCAGCAGTAAATGAGATGTTTCAGGCTAAAAGACCTGAGAAAAATTACAACTGGAAGAAATTGGAGAGATCACTTAAAAGAAGTTGGCACCGGAGGTAAAGTTGACGATGGAAACAGAAAGGAGGACTGAGACGGGAAACATTTTGAAGAAAGAATGGGAAACGCTTTGTCACTAACTGAATACAGATGACGGGAGCCACTGATGAACACAATGGTGTGCCGAGACTGACGAGAGGGATGGGAGTGGGAATTTTCACCCCGTCTAAGCAATTAGGAAATCAGCCAGTACGCACAGAGGACAGAGTTATTGATGGGAGTTTAGATCTGCACATCTAGCTAGCTTTGATGCGAGTGTAGGATATGCAAGGAGAATCACTCAACAGGCAAGAGTACAGAGTAGGGAGAGGTTAGAACTAAAGATGCAAGTTAAGCTTTGAAGATAGTAACAGAAGTCTTGGGAGCAGAGACAATCTGTGCAAGAATCCTGAATGAGAAAAGCAGAAGGCAGAGACTGGGGGATGCCCATGGTGATTAAGTACCAGGAAGGGAGCCAGAAAAGGAGCAAGGAGAGTTCCCACTTGCTCGGTAGCGTTCTGGAAAGAACAACCACTGAAGTGGCTTTCCTCAGAAGGCAACAGCACAAGCATACTCTTAAATACAAAAGGAACGACCGTTTTTTTCCTTTTTCTCTTCCTGTCTTCTCTGGTAAAGGGTAGACGAACTTCAGTCCCTGCTCTTGAGTGGCTCACAGTGTATTAGGAGCAGGCTCTCTGTATCCCTTTCCTTGGATATTACCTTTTCCCCCAAGGAACTTGCAGAGTAACCGTTAAGGCAGGATGAGGCCTGTGTCTGTTTGATAAACAAGGAGTATCAACTGAATCCTTATTTAGGGCTGTGTATGATAAAAGAATTAGAAGGACTGGAGGGCTGGTGGTGTAGGTCAGTGACAGAACACTCATATAGCCTTCATGTGGCCCTGGATTTCTTCCCCAGGAAAGATGGGGAGAGAGAAGGGAGAGAACCAAAGAAGAAGAGGGAAAAAAGGGACAAGAGGGAGGAAGGAATTAAAAAGAGAGAAAAAAGAAAAGAGAGTGGGGAAAGGGAGGGAGAAGAAGAAGAAAGAAGGAGAGATAAAACGAAAAGCAAGCAAAGCTTTGCTGTCGAGGGCCCTACAATCTTTAGAGCTCAGCAACGCTGACTGAAGTCAAATTGTTAGAGATCAGTTAGACACTAACCTGAGTGGAACTGACAAGAGAGTAATGTAAGCTGGATCAGCAGATATTTTTCAGCCTGAAAAGATGTGGCACAGCCACAGCCAAGATCCTTGAGTGAAAGGAAAATTTGGTAGAAGAGGAAAGGAAGGTATTTTAATAGGAGGAAGAGTTTGAGTTAGGGATGAGTGAGAATCTTGGTGGATGTTGAAGGCAAGAAAGAGCAGGCTTGGCTCAGTGGCATGTTTCAAAACAAAATAAAACAGTGGTCAGACAGCAGGATCCAGATATACTGCTTTTGGAAGAGAGCGAGCTGAGAAATGCCTTCATTGGAAGTACAGTGTCAACAGGCAGAGGGAAGTCTGTTCTCTACGATGGCTAGAAGTAAAGAAGCAAGAGCTAAGATACTGGTGGCTACTAACCAAGTTGAGGGAACGATGCGTCCAGGTCCCTGCCCCCTCCGCTTCCTGGCGTCTGTCATGCTCCATTCCAGGAAGGATCTTTTTGTACAGCGTGTTCTGATCTCTTGGGGATGCAGAGCACCCCCCCGCCCCCTCACATATGTACCGAGCTGGTGTGAACACCAGCAGATTGGCTGAGTTCCCCTGGCTCAATCCCCAGTGCCGAGTGTAACAATGCAGGCAGAAAGGAGCAGAGAAGCCAGGAGTTCCCTGTGCCTGGGGTGCCTGTGCATAATGCCTAGGAGGGCTTCTCTATCTCCCACAGTTCACGGAATTGCTGTGTTCTTTGACTCAGCACTCTGCTTTCAGGTATAAAAAAATCACAGCCTGTTTGCATATCTGTCCCCACATTAATGTCCTCCATTTCTCAGACTTCTTTGGTCCTGAAGCGTTTCAACCAAAGAAGATAGAGGGATAATGCAGTCCGTTCTGAAAATGATACCATAGTTCCCCCCACCTGTTGAGCTCTTTTTTGTGGCTCCTCTTTTCCCGTCTATCAAACAACAAAGCCTACTGACCTTGGTCTCCATTACTCTCTGATCCCCATTTTGACCACCACCCCTCAGCCAGCCATGCATCCCCCTCTCCTGTGAAATTCCTGATGAACCCACCAAGCCAAGCTCACCCTGCATGGTGCCTCTAGTAATCACTCCCTCTATTACTCTTTCACACGATTTTCCATTCCTTCCTCCATCCTTTTCCCTGTGTCTGGCATTGAGTAACATTACATTCTCTCTTCTGGTTGCAAAATCTCTCGGCTGTATCTCTGGGGAAGAAGGGGAAAAATGAAGGGTGTGATAAGCATTTTTGTCCACATTCTTTCCTCTATCAGCTTAGAATTGACTCAGGAACTTCTGAAAAAGGAATTAAAGTAAGATACAATGGCTGTGTGGCTCTCACAGGGGATTGTCAGTTGTGGAGCGTCAGTTGTGGATTCCCAGGAAGGAGCTGCCTGAGAAGAGGAATAATTTATGGATAGAGTATGGGTTGAGGTGGCAGTGCAATTGGGTCTTAGACTAAGTTCTTCTGTGGCACATAAAGCAGGGCAGCACAGCTCCTCCAAGGTGAGGTTTGTCTGAGCCTGAGATAGGTTTGCCAACTAGGAGGTAGACAGCACTTTTGTACAGAAGTAGACGATCTTACAATGTTCCTCAGTTGCATCAGGCTTCCAGTTTCATCAGACAAGCCAGTGATATACTTGGAGCAATAATATGCTTCCAAGGCTCAGAGTTGAGTCTGCTACTCATGGACTCATGGAGGGGCCAGTGACAGCTAAAATAGTACCTGCCCCAAAGCTTTTGACCACTGGACTTGGGCATGAGGGAAGCTATGTCAAGGACACTTCCTGAGTCCTAGCACAGAGGGCCAGGAAAGGAGGATGAGGACTCTAGTTAAGGATGAGTCAGAAAATACAGAGAGAGGACCTGTACAACCTTGTTTTCAAGCCTTCACTGATGCAGCACACCCTTTCCTGTTTTTTGCAGAGAAGCCCCGGATGAACAACATCCTGACATCGGCCACCGAGCCCTATGACCTCTCCTTCTCCCGCTCTTTCCAGAACTTGGCACACCTGCCCCCATCCTATGAATCTGCAGTGAAGACCAACCCGAGCAAGTATTCATCTCTGAAGAGGCTAAGTAAGCCAAGTTCCTCCCAGGGTTGAGGTCTGTCTCTGATGTCTCCGAGAAATCTTTCTCTGTCTGTTCCCCCACCCCTCGTCCTGTCCCCAAGAGAACAAGCGTTCAATCCCAAGAAGAAAGCATGAGTTGTATGTGGGGAGAAAAGTACTAGATGCAAGCACCTTGCTTTTCTTCTTTGGGGCCTGAGTCCATTCCTGCCGTAAACAAAACAGAGGTCATGGATTCTTACATCTGCATTCCTATAAGAGACAGCACCTCAACTCTAGCATCAATTCAACTGTAAGAGAAAGCCTTTTCCAGCTCCGCACACCACTTGCCCACTTGCCTTCTGCAAACCATGGGCTTTCATTGCCTATGTCTCATTTTAGAATAGCAGTTATCAAAGTCCAGAGCTTTTTTTGAGACCTCCTCCAGAGACCCACAAGGCAACTCCCTTCTACCTCAGCTGGCACCATTTTGAAAAACTGAGGTTCCCATCTCTCGCACTATACTCTGTTTCATCACTTAAGTCCAGGGATTCCTGTTCTGCCGCTTGAGCTCTAGGGAGTCTGTGTACCTTGATAGTTTTAAGACACTAAAATGTTAAGAATACACATTGAGAGTAGCTCTTCACTTCTGACCCTTGGGCTTTCTCCCTGAATTTCCCTGTGAGTCTCTTTTGATGACCACTAACTTTATTGAGGCCCCAGCCTGCAAGGTAATGTACTCTAGTGGAAGATCAGCCCGAGCCCACCTCATCCATCCTCCTGGTAGAACACTGAGTTTCTATGACAGAAAGTGGGCGTCTCCAATGACCTAACAAATCTGACTGATGCCCTGAGATGAGGGAATGTGGCTCAGTAGCTGGACTATATCCCCCATCACCAGTCCCTCTGTGCCAAATGAGAAGGAAACTATGTTTGGGGGCTTGGCAGAAATCTTGAGGACTGTCTGAAAGAAACCTCATTGTTGAAATTTGGCAGTGCAGGTTTGCATGTGTCCTGGGTCAGTTCAGAGGGCAGAGTGAGCTCGAGAGCGCCTCCTGGATGAAGAGGAGAATGGAGCATCTGAACAAGGTTCACATGGAGGGTTGCTCCAGCTTTCTGTGTTGTGGGCACAAGCTTAGTATGTGCAAGCTAATCACTTACCCGCATGGGTGCTGGATGCCGTGCATTAGCTTCCTGTGCACTGGCGGCTACTTCAGAGAAGGTGTTACTATGTTCCTAAATTACCAGACAAGCTTTCTCACAAATGCCTCTTAGCTAGAACATCTTACTTTATTCCAACAGAAGGCTGGTCTGTGACACAGCTTCCATAAAGAAAGGCTCGGCTCTAGACCTTGTTCAGAAACTCCAGCTGCTACTTGGGTGTTCCGCCCCTATGGAAGGGGGCCTTAGATGTCAGGAGCAGGAGCCCAAAGAGTTGGGCTTGCTGTGAGCTTTCTGGGGATCTTGAAGAGGTCTCTTAACCTCTTGCCACTCAAAGTGGCCCTTGGACACATCTGAGGCTCTGGACCACAATCTGCAATCCACTAGCTCCCAAGAAGGAGTTTGCACATCCAGAGGAGAAGCACCACCTTCACCTCAGCCCCCGGGTTTTATTCCATACTCCAAAAGGGTTTAACTGTGTTGTCCTTGCAGCTTTATAGGTGGGTGACTCAGAGGCGGGGCTGCAGGATTCTCCCCAAGCCCAGTAGTGAAGTCACCCCATGTCCTTCTCTGTCTGCTCCCTCTGCAGCCGACAAGGAGGCCGACGAGTATTATATGAGGCGGAGGCACCTGCCCGACCTGGCGGCCCGCGGCACCCTCCCGCTCAACGTCATCCAGATGTCGCAGCACAGCTTTATAGGTGGGTGACTCAGAGGCGGGGCTGCAGGATTCTCCCCAAGCCCAGTAGTGAAGTCACCCCATGTCCTTCTCTGTCTGCTCCCTCTGCAGCCGACAAGGAGGCCGACGAGTATTATATGAGGCGGAGGCACCTGCCCGACCTGGCGGCCCGCGGCACCCTCCCGCTCAACGTCATCCAGATGTCGCAGCACAGGCCGCTGCCGCGGGAACGCCCCCGCCGGCCCATCCGGGCCATGTCCCAGGACAGGGTCTTGTCCCCACAGCGGGGCCTGCCGGATGAGATCGGCATGCCCTATGACCGCATCCTGTCAGACGAGCAGCTGCTTTCCACTGAGCGCCTGCACTCCCAGGACCCGCTGCTGTCCCCAGAGCGGACGGCCTTCCCCGAGCAGTCCCTGTCGCGGGCCATCTCCCATACGGACGTCTTTGTGTCCACGCCCGTGCTGGACCGCTACCGCATGACCAAGATGCACTCCCATCCCAGTGCCTCCAATAACTCCTACGCCACCCTGGGCCAGAGCCAGACAGCAGCCAAGCGCCACGCCTTTGCCTCGCGAAGACACAACACGGTGGAGCAGCTGCACTATATCCCGGGCCACCACACCTGCTACACAGCCAGCAAGACTGAAGTGACCGTGTGACCGACCGGCGGAGCCCGACTGGGCGCTTGGGGTGGGCAGGGCAAAACAGAGCAGGGCTCAGGGGCAGAATTTCCAGCCTCCTACTTGTCCCTTTCCCTTTCCGGGTCTCCTCCATTGGAGGTGGGGGTGGGCCGCCTTGTCCGGAAAGCCATACTCCTGGGGGACCCACCTCCCACAGCCTGGTCCAACACGCTCAGACCCAGGACCTAGAGCATCTGCTGTTACTCTTTCAATAGAATCGATAGGGAGCAAGAACCGGGTGGGGCCCCAGTCCCACCCCTGCTCCCCTCACAACGCCCTTCAGTCCCACATCCTCTTCCCCATCCAGGGGCCTCTGCCCAGGTTCCGTCAGCCAAAAGACCTTCACCTGACCCTGATCTGTCACTGTCTGGATTGGAACAGGCCAGCTGGTGCAGTCAGTGGGCTGACTGAACAGGCTACTTGGTTTTAGCCATTCACCTAGAACCACATCACAGAAATCTTCTAGTGCCTAAAAACTGCCTGCTTGCTCTCTGAGATGGAGAGCTGCTGTGTCATAAGCACAATACTGATTCTCTTCTGCCTGCTGGAACTCTCTGGTCCCCATCAAGTGAGTGGCCCTTCCTTTGCTGACCTTGGCCCTTCATCCCTCCCTTCTGTCCTGGGACAGGAAGGCTTCCTTTCCTGCAGCTGCCTCCCATTCGAAACCCGGCCCCATTCCAGCTGGCTGCCCTGGCCCTTCTCCTCTGGGGGTCTTTGCTCTCCTCCAGCCCAGCTGTTTCACCCTCCAGCTCTTTGAGGCTTTAGCTGTTGCCCTTCAGAGGAGAACAATGGGGTACAGGGACTTTGGGGGAGACTTCCTGGCCACCTGATTATCTCCCCACTGCCTCCAGGCCTCTAGGTCTGAACTCTGACCACCACTAAGGCCTGCCTTCTCTTCCTGCGCTCTGTTCCCAGGAGATGGCTGCTGTGGTTGGAAAGAGCAGGGGTGGGGAGAGCCAGCTTGATGCCCAGGATCTCAGGGGCTCACCATTCTCATTGTCCGAGGCTCTACTTGTCCCCCACATGCACCTCAGGCAGGAAAGAGGCAGAAGCTTGTAGATAGAGGATATTCAACCCCAAACAAGGAGGACCTTCCTGAGATGGCTGTCCTGCACCTGCCTGCTCCTCTTTCCCATTTCTGCCCACTCACTGGGCCCCTTCTCTTCCATTCTCTCCCTCTCTTCCCTTTCCCCACTATGTATCTTCTTCTCTGACCCCTAGTTCCTTTATTCTCCCCTGGCTGCCCTTTTCTCACACCCGTGGATCAAAGGGACAAAGACCCATTAGCAAACACAAATAAACAATGACACTGATCCAGGTTACTGGTTCAGGACCTAACTGGGCATCTCCCCAGCTCACTGGTCCTTCCCTGAAGGGGGCACTGCAGTATCAGGCAGATCCATGCCTACCCTCAGCTCCATGAGGGGGTGCCCAGTGCTAGCCCATCACAGTCCCTTCTCTCTCTTTAACCCTGGAGGTGAGCAGGGTGCGACCACCTACTAGGGAGCTAACAATGAGCACTGCAATTTCTCCCCCAATGCCATGGGAAGAGACATAAGAGGATCCCCCATTCTCAGGGCCAGGGCATCTCCCTGAGCCAGAGTTGGGAGGAATCAGCTCCAGACTGTTTGGTGAAGGTTTCATACTAAGACCAGACTGTCACCAGTCAGATTCCAGCAACAGTGCCCTTAGAGAGCATTTTACATAATCTTAGTTCCATAGGGATAGTCCTTTTAAAAGGCAGGATGGGGAGAACTCATCAGCCCTAGGAATTTTTAATCTAACCAAGTCCAAACCCCACAAGGAAATCATTGGACTGCTTCCTCACAGATTTCAACAATTCCAAACCTCTTTCCTCTCCCCAAAGCTTGCCTGCCCCCGCCCCAGCCTAAGCAGGACTGGGTCAAATGAATTACAAGGGGGTGAAGGTTGGGGTTGACTGCAGAGAGGCAAGGACTTATTCCCTCTGCTTTCCTCCTCACAAACACATAAACCTTCTAAAGGGCTGGTCCCCATGGGTTTATGAGCACTTGTTCCAGAAGGTAAGGTGAAGGAGGATGGAAAAGAGGAAATTGATCTACATAAAGCAGATGAACACGCCTAGGTGCAAAAGTGTGTCTCACAGCTTGATCCCTAAGCCCAGAACACTTTGACTCTGTAGCCCTTGGCCAGTCCTCCCGAAGACCACTTTCTTGTGGACAGGGGAAAGGACAGACCATGGGTAGGTGAGATTCTCTCCCCTAGGTGTCTATACTGCTCGTACTAAACCAGAGATCTGTCTCATCCAACCAAAACATCTTCTGGACCCCAAGTTCTCCAGCCCTCAGGGGAGTGCTTTCCCTGGGCTTCCTGCCCCAATCTTCTCTCTGACAAGATGTGTTTCTCTCTGTCTCTGGGTTCATTTGATAGATTGATTCCAAAATAGTTTTCATTCCAAGTCTTACCATTGTCAGGTTGAAAATCTCTTTTGTCAGTTGAAATCACAGACTTCAGCTGGGATGGTTGTCCTTATAAAGAATTGCTTCTACTTTGTCCTTAGGTAAGAAGAGGAGTGAAGAGAAGGAGGGAGGAGGAGGAAGGGAGTGGGAAAGAAACAGCGAAAGTGATGAAAAGACTTAGGCCTACAAACTTGCTGCAATTCAGATCCCCATTTCAAAATCCAGAAGACTGTGTCTTAATTAGGACATAAAGGTACAGCAGGAACCTCTTGTTCACAGTTTTGTATTACCCTGTTTCAATTACCTGGTCCAAAAATATTAAAATTTGTGCTGACTAAAAAGAGAGAGCATATTCACATAACTTTTACAGTATTTTACAATATATTGATATAATTGTCCTCTTTTATTGTTAATTTTGTTCATTTCTTTCTGTGCTTAATGTACAAATTAAACTTTATCACAGATATGTATATACATTAAAAAAAAATAAGACGTGGAATTCAGCACTACCCGCTAAACATGGTTTTAGCTTTCAGTAGGCATTGGAAAGTATATCAACCCACAGTAGGGTGGGAGCCACAGTAAGAGGGGACTCTGTTTGCTCAGCTATCTCACCTATCACTATGGAATAAGCAAAGCCACACTGCCAGGTAGGTCCACTTAAGAGAGAATTCTGGGTCCGGAGCCCAGATATCACAGCTTCTAGCCCAACCGGGCTTGCCCCTGTTCCTAGCAAAGGAATCCTAAAGCCCAAGATTTTCCTTTGCTCATTTTGTTCTTTTGTCTCCCATTCCTCTGATAGGAATGGACTGGATTCTGCACAGGTTTCTCCTGCCTTGAATGTTCTTCCTAAGTCTCTGTGTGCCCCTCATGCCTGTCCTCCCTTATGGTCTTGCTTCCTCCAATGAACTCCTGAGTCCAAGCACTCTTGAGTCACAAAGGCTTTGCAAGAATTCCTTAACCTCCTAAGGAGCTTCTGTCCTCAGGGACACCCAATGTCTTGAGTGGTGAGTCTCTGTCCCTTAGAAAGTTCCCACCTCCTCCAGGCTAAAATTCCTCCCCGCCCCTTTCCACTTTCACTTCCATTTTAACCTCAGTCTCCTGTATCAGTTCACTCTTCCCTTCCTCTCATCTGCTTCCTTATTTACCTTCTTTCATCTCAAATTTATTTTCCCCTGGTCATGGTCTCTAATTTTAAGAACTAGAGCTCTGGAGGGAAATCATAGAAGAATCAGGCATTTTTCAGGTCTTTTGTTTCCTCTCTGGTTTATCTTTCACTTCCTACACCCAGGAGATGAAACTCCAGGGTATGAAGCCAAGAGCTCTCCCCCTCTGACCTTTAGGAGGGAAAGGAGAGGCTGCTGGTCCAGAAGTGTCACAGCCAAAAGATCAGCTTTGGTTCTTGCAGCTGTAAAACCCATGAAGCTCCTGACACAACTTGCTACTAGCCCAGAGGCTACTGCTCTGGTCAAATTTTCATACGTTTGGGGACTCTCAGCCACTTACTCCTCCTTCCTGCAAGTGAGCCTCACATTCCTCCTTTGTCTCAGAAGATTTGTGGGCCTCATGATTCTCCAAGCATGGAAGAGTATCCATCCCAACATCCCTGCCACCAAACTCAATGCATCTCCTTCAGAGACACCTTGACTGGCACCAGCCTCCTACCCTGATTCCTTCCATAGGTAACTGTGGGCTTGACCCAAGGTAGCAGTTTGAAAGGGCTGCCAATCACATCCACCCTAGAAGGGACCCGCTCTGAGAAGAGCTAGCACATTACTTTCCATACGTCACATGCATTCTTCTATCATCCTCTCTAAATCTGGGGAACTTTGTTCATGACTATTTTCAAGGAAGCATGTTGTGTTTCAATGAAGTATTTTGTGTGAGGGTTAAATGTTATTTTTTATAAAATGCAGCATTTTAATGGTAGATTCAAATATGAAAGGCCAGTCTTCCTGGGCTCTGTATTTGATTTTTGGAAGGCAACATACTCAAGGAGAAAAAGGTACAGGGCTGAGGCTCTGGAGACATGGCTTCCAGCCCTGGCTTTGTCTCCATCCTACCACATTACTAAGAGAAGTCACATTCCTGCTCAGTGCCTCAGTTTCCCCATCTGTAAAATGAGGGGCTTCAATTAGATGAGATTCCAAGTTTCACCCAGGTCTTATATTCTATGACATTCGTTTCCCATCTGCATCCTTTTTTTTTTTCTTCCACGTCCTTCCCTGCCTCAGCTGAGTTGCACATATCCCGCCTATGCCTGCCCCCTACAAAGACATCCTCAGATACCCTAGACAGCCACCAGACTCCTTGACGGTCCCGGCCACTCACAGATGCTCTCATACCTGAAGATTAAGGGCCTGAGCACTCTGCAAAACACCAACCATGTGTCAAAAAGCCTCTCACACAGACACACCTAAGCCGCCCAGGTGTCTGTGACACTAGGAAATTCTGAGTTTGGAGCTTTCATTTTTAATATGGTCCCTATAGCTGGAGGGAGGCAGTTCCAATTTCAGAGAGGGGGTGGACTGGAAAAGAGAGATCTAGATTGGCCCGTGAAGTTTGGGCATGAAGTTTGTATCTGGGAACAACTGGAAAACACATTCCAAGCCTCTAAATTGCACACTTGGCAAAGGCTCCATGTGGCAAAAGATGCTATTGTATCCCACTCTGGAATGTTCTCCTAAACACCAAGACTGGAAACTGAGGCTCCCTTCCAACTGGAGAGGAAGAGGCACCCAACCCGGGCTGCTAGGAGTCACGTTCTAGGACTGCTAGGAGGTGGGCACTCACCCCATCCTAGTATCTTCCTATCCCCTCATTGTGACACTACTGCCCTCCCAGTGAAGGCTTGTGAAGCAAGAATGGAGACTCCAAGTCGGTATCATCAAACCCATCGCGTAAATGGCAAACACATTAACTTTTCATCAGAAAAAGGACACTGTGTGTTTCCTTAATACCCTTCCTGCCGAGGGAAGAGAAGACCCTGCTCAACTTTTCTGCCTGTCCTGCAGTGACCCTCAAATGCCACTTCATGGGAGGACCCATTCATTCGCTTCGTAGTGGAAAAAAATTCCTCTAGTTCTATAACCCGACTAGACATTTTGTAGTAAAGAATCCTTGAAATTCTCTAATAAAAAGCAATTCTTACTATAATATTTTTAGTTTGGGGACACACTTTCCTAAGGGGTAATTAATGAACATTTTTATGCATTAGCCCACTTTATGGATTCTATGTTTATTACCTATGGTAGTATTGATGAAATTACCTTTCTATCCGTACCTTTGCAATTTCTTCATTACTCATATGTAAGCTTCACAATGAGCAGTGCTCTTGTTAACTGCTCCTGTACAAATCTCATTGTCATCCTTACCTGTCAAAGCACATTCTATATGTACTGTAAACAGATATCACTTTAGTAATATTTAGTCTTAAGGATTTTTTCCACTTTTGTCAGTAACAGATATTTATGGATTAAAAAAATAAAGCTGTTTCAACGTAACTTGTGTCTCTGAAAGTAGCTACATACTCACTTTTACTGAGTCCATTAAACTAGTGGTAATTAAGCAGAAAGAAAGGATGCAGAAGATTGACGCTGAGAGTAGACGCAAAGACTGACCATAAACAGAAGGTAGGAGACTTTTGAGGGGTGATGAGAATATTTTAAAACTGGACTGTGGCGATAGTTCCACATTGCCATCATGGATGTGTATACTTTCAATGGGTTCATGCTCTGGTATGCAAACTAAACTCGACTAGTCTCTTTAAAAATGGGGGACAGATGGCATGTAGGAAGGTAAGCCCAGGACAAATACCAGTGGAAAAGCTATCCCCATTCACAGCAGAATCAGAAGTTCTAAGGTTATATCCATACTTCTTTACCCCAGAACCATTACCTTTGGACATTAGATCCTAGTTCGATTTTAATTTCTGTAGTTACTATGGTTGATCAGAGGAAGGGTAGCTAAATATTCAACTCATAGAATCAAGTTTCACCATGAAACCAATTTACAGCTTTGTGCAAGACTTTCTTTCTCTGGACATGAATCTTATTTTCTTTGGCTCATGTCCACTTTTACTACTAAGGTTACATCTTGTTCACTGGAGCCTAGATACAGGCTGACCAAACAAAGTGTTGCCAAACAGGACAATTGGCCAAATCCCCAACCTGAGCTGCTTCACGGTGCCTAGAATCCATCTTTAGTTATACTCTCTTCCCAACCTTCCAAGTCCCTTGTAAATAAAATCTTCATTGGATGCATTGCTCTTATATTTAAAAATACATGTATTCTCTCTTATCAGAGGCATCCATTCCTTAACTACAAAGTGCTTACTGCCCTTATACATTATAGCCCATGAGCACCTCAATTCTGATATATATTTACTCATTATAACTATCACTATTGCAGCGCCTTTACTTTTAAGTCACTGTATTTCTAACTGTGGAGGCTTGTTTTAGAGTAGTTATATAATGCTTAAATATACATGAAATGACTAGATTAAAACATATTCCCCAAGAGAAATTTTCAGGAGATGAGCTAAGGATGTAATTAAGTAGGTGAGAACTTGCCTAACATGCATGAAAAGCTCGGTTTAATTCTTCTCAGTACAAATAATAATAATAATAATAATATAAACAAAGTTCAGAAACTTTCACATCTTCTTTATTGTATAGGTAAGAGTCATGTATATATCTAAAGTCTAAGATACTTTACAAGACTTTTCTTAAATAGTCAAAATATCCCCTTTAAAATATCATTAACTCTAACAATTTGTTCAACTTTTTCTCCTTGATTCTCAAAAGTAAACCCCAACTTAGTCTCTGTCACAATTGCCTCTAATTCCTCTAATTCCAAATCAGTGCGATCTGAATAAAGGAAATTTTAAAAAGCCATTAACAGTCCAAGACCAAAGCCAAGGAAGCCAGCTTCTTACCTGACATGTTACTTTGTACACTAATGTTCTTTGGCTGAGCTTGAGGACAAAGCTCAAAACCTAATGTCCTGAAAGTTTCAGAAAAGGAAATTGGTTAAGTTTTATATTATGAATGTGTTGGCCAGTGTCATCTCCAGGCCTTGGGTCTTGGTTTGAGGTTTCTGTAATAATCAGAAAATAGAATAAACTCTAAGATCTTTCCTATGTCTGATCATTTTTTCTGATACTGGGGATGGAACCCAGTGCCTCATACATGGGAGGCAAGTACTCTGCCACTGAACCAACACCTCACTCCCTGTGTCTGTTTTATTTTTTATTTTTATTTATTTACTTTTGTACTAGGGATCGAACTCGGGTCCTTGCGCTTGCGAGGCAGGTGGCAGAACCACTGAGCTAAATCCCTGGCCCCATGTCTGAGCAGGAGTCAAGAGAACTGATTCACTGTACTGGCTCTGCCAGCATTTTGCTCTATGACCTTGAGCTACTTACTTCTCTCACTTCTCAATTTTCTCATTTAGAACAAGAAGAATAGGCCAGACAAGGCAATCTCTAAAATGCTTTTTTGCTTCTTTTGTTTCTATTTCCGTGACTTTGCTAAAACTTTTTAGGGAACTGATAGGCTTGGTTGGTATTGATTGTGGCAGAAGTGTAAGATAGAACAAAAGCGTGGGATGGAGTGGGGAAAAAACTTTTGGCTAGACCTTGCACTTATAAGATAGCATCTTTACCATTGCCAACATAGGTACCCTTGTATCGACAAGGTAGTTGTAGAGGAAGTGAAGATATTGAATGAGAGGAAGAACAAGGTCTTCAAAACAATATATTTTCTGTTTGACAACTTTTTGTGATTTCCTAAAATCAACAAGTTGGCTGTCAAAGAAATCCCAAAGATTTATATTTTCACAGAAAGTTCTCAACAGTTTATTTCACTGTTTTGCCCTTAGAAATAGAGCTCAAATGTGTTTCAGGGCCAATCAGTCTCAAAAAAAATATCAATTTCTTTTGTTTTTAGACCTCCAGCTTTAATCCCAACCCCAAGTCTAAGTTTCAGAGATATGTAGCACATGCAGTTTTCTAAGGCATTTGTCCTTATTCCTGACTGGGTGTGCTTTAGAGATTTTCTGTTGGTCCATTTATAAAAGCTACCCCCACTGTTTGATTGCAGCAATCTTGGAAAAGAGTTCCTCTGCTTCCTAAAGGGTACTATCCATATTAATCTTCATTTTAGACGTGGAGAAAATTAAAAACCATCATCTAAACCAATGCTACTCAAAGTGCAGTCCACAGAGCAACAACTTCAGAATTCTGGGCAAGCTCAGTGCAGTGTGGGCACTCAGTGCTCACCTGACTTCCTACGTCAGAATTTCAAGTGGTATGACTTCTGAACTTGCATTTTAAGAAGTTTCCGAGGTGATCCTCAGCACATTAAAGATGAGAAGCATATAATGTTTAAACTTTTCAGCCATATGATGAGAACAAATACTCTGAATCTGGGGATGATAGTAGCCTTGCTCTATGTAGTCTGATGATTCCAGGCAGTCAGGTTTAGTAAAGAGATTAGAGCAAAATTAAATGTCTCTTCAGAGAGCTAAGATGGGTCATATAAAGTATAGCCAAGTTCATCAGATGAGAAACTGTGACTTTTAGCCTTATAGGGTTAAATGGGAGTCATTAAAATTTGCACAAACTTAAATGTGTTAAAATTTGAAGGGAAACTAGAACAAGGATAAGGATATGGAAACCAAAGAACAGTCAATTCATTAGGCATAGGAGGAGTACTTCAGGGGAAAGCTATTCCTCTGAGACTTTTTAAGAAGGCAAGAGTGAATGAGAATCAAGACTTGTCATGTAGAGGTACAAGATCCCAACAATGAATGTAACTGTACTGTATCCCTAAAATGTACCAATAAACTCAATTAAAGCTGGAAAAAAAAAAAGAAGGCAAGAGTGGTTTACTGCGAGACAAGGAGAAAGGGCTGTTCAGGAAGGTTATCCTGGGTGGTCCCAATCTCCTCAGTAGTGTATGATAAGGGCTCATTAAATCATGAAGAATAGGCTGTGTTGTGCTGTAGTCACAACTTCTAAATCTCCCTAAAACAGCAAAGGATTATTTCTTACTCCTGCTATGCTGTAGATCAGCTGAGCTTCTGTTGTATTTCTTCATAGGGCTCAGAAATAGTCAGATTAGCCACTGCTGATACACCACAAAACCACAGCAAAAGAAAGGGGAATACTGGCTGGTCTGGCCAAGACAATTAGGAGAAGCCCAGAGTGGTATACATTATTTGTACTCACGTCTTCTAGGCTAGATCTGGTAACAAAGTCCCATTCGATCATAGAGAGGTGGGGAAATATGATTCCCTCATTTTCCAGGAAGTTGGAGAACAAGAAATGGTCAACTAGCGGCAAACAGTGATATTGTACTTAAAGATTGAGAGTTTACAGCTACAAAACTCTCCTTTTCCAAGTAATAGAGAAACCAGCAAAACCTTCAAAGTGTTCTCATTTCTTAAGTCAGATAAAACTGTTTTGCAGCTGAAACATGTGAAGCCAGTAGTATGCCCACCACCATTTCAAATGAGTGGTTTTCTTATCCATGATTCATCAGTGTCAAGAATTAAATTATGTGAGGCAAATAATGAGAATACAATTATTCTCAATTATCATTACTGTGTATAAAACAGCACATAAGACATAAGGCTTGAATATATACTGTAACCGTCTCACAAAAGCTAAGTAGAAAGTCATTCAAACCATGACAACTTTCTGTCTCTGTCTCTCTTTCTCCTTCTCTTCTTCCTTCCCTTATTTCCTTCAGTATGAAGGTTTCATCTGTGTGTGTGTAACTTTTCTCATGTGCATTTAAAAACCTGGTCGAAATGCACCTACCACCCATTAAGTCTCCACAGCTTTCCCTGTTTGACCTTTGTGACGAGTTGATTGAAGCTCTCTGTAGCTCGATTCCAAAATTGTTAGGAGAATGCACAAAAATACCCACAATTCCCTTTGTGTATCAGTGGGCCATTGTTTCGAAACAAAGCACCCGAAATGTATAGCAGAAAACAATAAAAATTATTTATTGCTATTTCTCATGATTCTGGAAGCCAAATAAATCAGCCAAACAGTTCTTACTCAGGGTCCCTTACATGGTTGCAATCAGATGGTGGCTGAAGCTGGAGTCATCACAAAGGCTTCCTCACTCACATGTCTGACTGGCTATTCATGCTGATTGTCAGCTGGACCTTAAAGGGGTCATCATCTGGACTGCTTACATGTGTTCTCTCCAGCAGGATTTCTCATAGAGTACAGAGCAGCTAGGTTCCAAGAGAATGTGCCCAGAAAGAAGAAGAGAGATAGGCAGGAGGGAGGGAAATAGCTAGGGAAAAACCCAGGACAAAATTACATCACCTTATGATGTAGTCTCAGACATCGTGTAATAACACACTCTCCAGTTCAAACAATTGTGAGGTTCTGCCCAGGTTCAAGGGGGCGGAACCTGGTTGAAGGAAGTGTGGCCAGTTCACTTTATTTTAAAGACATGTCTATGAAAGTTATTGCTAGGGTTCTTCTTAGAAAATGCAATCTTTCATATTAGGGTTGTGTCTACCCCTGGTCTCATAAGCTATAGTCGGGGAAACTTAGAAACACACTATAAAATGCTTGCAGTCATTCACCCTGAGAATTATTTTCAGAAAGTAAGTGTAGGGTGAACACATACATGAAATAGTCTCTCTGTAAAGTATGCAATTGTTACCGTTTCTTGTTTTTAAGCTTATGGTGTTTTTGTAGTGCAACATCCCTGAAGTGTTGAGAAAATATTCCATAAAAGAGCACACTCTTTTTAGTTCCCTCTCAGAATTCTGGAGATGACAGTGAACAGGACAGACTAACCATGAATTCAATGGAATCACACTCATTTATTTCCTATAACAGGGTAATGACTTGAAATTCTGGTGGTTTCCTCTTTTTTTCTTTCTCTCCACCAAGTGAAGCAACAGTAAACCACCATCTATGCTACTCTCAGGGAAAAGGTAGACAGAGACCAGAGAAAGACATCTTGGTTCACTTCACTTTCAAAATAGACTTTTTTAAATCCGGAGAACACAAATGATCACACACTTACTATGAAATTCACTTAGTGAAAAGATTAAGTCTTTCCTTTATCTTTGAAAGTTGACCTTTGAGTACCAATGAGTCCAGTTTGCAGAGCTTGACTTTTTACCATAAGCCATGGAGTAGATGGGACATGAGACGTGGGAGCAGTGTATTCTGCTATGTAGGATGGAGAAATACCTTCCTGTACTGGGGAAAACTGTGGGAAAAATCAAAGATGAGAAAATGGTATCTGGGTCTCATAGACAGCCCACACCTAATGCTCACCATGGGATGGATGGGCTGACAAGGATGGAAGAGAGTGATCACAGGAAAGTAGCT